CACCCGTTTAAAGGCCATTCGTGGTCTCGCTCGGAGGTGACAGGTCTCCCGGCTGCCTACAGACCCGCTGCCGTTCCAGGGGCCCCCGTGGCCGCAGGGCAGCGCTGGCCTCGCACTCCGCTCCCCGTCCCCCATGGGGCAGCAAGCGGGGGCAGAGGGGGCTGCCCACAAGGTGCCCTTGGCTTCCTCCTAACCTCCTGATCCACACAAACATCTCTCCTGCAGACACTGCAAGGCTTGTGCAAAGCCCCCGAGACACCAGGCTGGTCGGCAGGCCACAGCTCCTGCTGAGGTGGCTCATCTCGATGGAGCCCTCCCAGCCCTTGTCTCCTCGTCCAGAGCCTGCCCATGCCTCTCCAGCACCGGAGCGGCCATCCCCAAGGAGGGATCAACACAGCCACCAACCGGGGCCCTGAGGAGGGCAGGGGAATGGCCGGGCGAGGACCAACCTGCGGCCAAGCCTCCGCGAGCAGCGGCCCTGCGCCTCCAAGGAAGCGTCTTCCAAGCAAGGCCAGCGGGATGCACCTTCCTGATGCCTCTGAGCGGGTCCTGAGCGGATCAGCACCGGCCGGGACACCGCGTCCATGCAAACAGCTGCACACCTGTGTTTGTGCGGGGCACGGGCAGCTCTGCAGGCAGCGGCACGGCGGGCACACGCTGCAGCACGCGGGGGCTGCACCTTGAGCGACCGGGGCGCTCTGCACCGCGCAGCCACAGATCCAGGGAAAACGCCAGATAAACCAGAGCCCCTGTTCCCAGCGCAGACAGCAGGTCGCACGGCACAGCCACTGCTGCCACTCCGCACGGCGCAGCGCGGGCGCCAGCGCAGGGAGCTGCATCCAGGGCACGGCTGAAGCCTCCGGAGAAACTGGCTGCCACCTGCACACGCGGCAGCAGCCCACGAGGAAAACAGCCCCGCGGCAAGCGAGACGCAGCGCCTCGGTCCCCAGTGCCACATTTGCTGGGAAGCAGCACATCCTAAAATGCAGAGGGAGGGCTTGGAAAAGACCTGTGTGACATGGTTTGCTCCAGCCCAACACCGATAGCACAGCTCTTTCTGTTTGATTTCCTGTGAGCAAAACCGGAAATTTGGGGTCTCTCTGCAGCCAGGTATTTGCCACGTTTGGGATTATTTTCCCTTCTCCAATTCCCTCTTTGCAAGCTAAGCTTCCTCCCTTCAGCAGCAGCAGCCTTCACACCTGGGAGCAAATCGATCGTATTCAAAGCACACCGTTAGCGCAATGCTAGGATTTGCCGTTTGTTGCTCTTGTATTATTAATGCTAAAGCGCATGTTCTTTAACCTGCCCCAATTGATCCCGGTAACTTGCACATCTTAGTTTCCTGGAGGTCTGAACCGTTACGAAAGCAGGATCATGGCCACAGGGAAACAGCACAAGTCAGCAGGTTTATCGGACATTGTCTATCTCAACTTCACCAAGGCTTTTGACACTGTCCCTCTCAACATCCTCCTGGGCAAGCTCCGGCAGTGTGGGATAGATGAGTGCACAGTGAGGTGGATTAGGAACTGGCTGGACGGCAGAAGTCAGAGGGTGGTGATCAGCTGAGAGGGGACCTGAGCAGTGTCTAGAAGTACCTCAAGGGAGGCAGTGAGGAGGATGGGGCCGGCCTCTTTTCACTGGTGGCCACTGACAGAACTAGAGGAAACGGCCCCAAACTGAAGCATCAAAAGTTCCCCAGGAACTAAAGGAAAAATTTCTTCCCAGTGAGGGTGCCAGAGCCCTGGAACAGGCTGCCCAGAGAGGTTGTGGAGTCTCCTTCTCTGGAGATCTTCAAACCCGCTTGGACGCAGTCCTGTGCCACGCGCTCTAGGTGACCCTGCGTGTGCAGGGGTTGGACTAGGTGACCTCGAGAGGTCCCTGCCAACCTTGAGCACTCTGTGATTCTGTGATTCTATGATCATTATCAGCAGAGCTGATTCAACCTGGCACTCCGCAAAGGCCCGGATTCGGCAAGGCGTGCGGCACCGGGCGGGACAGCACCAGGACCCATCCGAGGCCCCGTCCTGAGCGCCCCACGGGACTGTGCACGTGGCGAACCCGCAGTATCGCGCTGAGCGGACACGTCACGCGTCCCACGCAGCACCGGCCCGCGAGGCGCACGCAAAGGGCAACCCGGCTACACGCCGCCGCCAACAGCCGCCCCTACGTACTGTGAATTTGCATGTTGTGTTGGGCTTTTCTAACTTAGGAACTTGATCTGCCTCAAAACCACTCACTAAGTTCCCCCGTGAAAGAAGCTGTGCCATTCTGCTGTAGCAGTTGCTTCACAGGGCAGTAGAGTATCCGGTGTCATAGGCAGCAGGGCAAAAGGACAGCAACCTCGAGGCAGCGCAGGCTGAAAGCTGCTGCCACTATCCCAGATCCCACAATTTCTCTTAATTAATCAAAAAGGAGCAATAGTAAGTGCTAGTGACCTTAACCTTCTTCCTGCTTGGCGCGTTACTGACTGGGGAAAGCACCCGCTGCCCTCCCCGTGCGGCGCCGCTGATGCTCTCGTCACCCATTCGCCAGGGCACAGCCTTCCTGCAAGGCAAAGCTGCACGAAGAGCCCCCCGTGTCCCCGCACTGAGCACACCGTGTCGGGACAGCACGGGGACGAGCGCAGAAACGCCACCGCGACAGGCCTTGCCCAGGCAAACCCTGCTCCTCCACCCAAACATCGTCAGGACCAACACGCTCGGGCAGAACATCGCGTCCCAGAGAGGGGGTCAGCACCACGCGGCAGGGAGGCGCAGGGCCGCGCACGCTCGGCACGTTCACGGAGCAAGCACGCGTCACGGCAGGGAGCCCCTCGGCAGCCCAGCTCCTGGCGGATCTGCTTGCAGGGAGCGCGGCCGGCGCGGGCCGAGCACGGCCCCACAGCGCACGGGCTCTCGCGGATGCATTAAACACCCCTTCTCATTTCTGGAGGATTAGAGCATTTTCCAGTGTTTGAACAAATACGTATAAAGGTCCTGCTCTGGATCAAGGAACATCTCAGCATTTTTTGCGGCTCAGACTGTTGGCAGGCCCTGGTTTTGCAGAAGAGCAAGGACAGAGGAGCTGGCGCATCGCGGGGGTTGCGCGGCGCGGCACGGCGCGGCACGGCACAGCCCCCTGCCCCTCGCCCTCCTCCCGGCTGGAGCCGCGGGACAAGGGCCGCTCTGCCACCCGCGTCCTGCTCCCTCCACAGATCACCACACAACTCAAACCCAGGCACGTACAGTCCTTCCAGGCTGCTTATGTAAGCGAGCTGTGCATGGCAGATGAGCGCTTATGAACCTCATTCTTTTGAATAAAATTTAAAAATAAAGCCCCCTGAACCCAAGAAACTATTAATACTTTATCACTTTCACAAGCCATTAGACACAACAGCCTCCCGATATGAGACACCACACGAAGCACCATCACCTGATGCTTTTCAAACACACATAATTAAAACGACCTCAACAGAAAACCTTCAAAGCTGCTTCCTCAGCTATTGCGTGTTCCCCTCTGTGCCCGTTGGCCTTGCTGGCTCCGGGTGAGGGTGTCTAAGCTTGGGATATATTTATACCAAGCACAAACAGACAGGTGAAAAACTGCAACTCTTCTCTTGCTCTAACAGTTGCAAAGACCACACTAAATTAGCACGTGGCATCTAAGGAGACATCCCAGCTGCTCGGCTGTGCTCTCTGATTTAAACACCATGACCACACGAGTTTCGATTAACCGTAACTTTTTTCAGGAAAGCACAGCAGCAGAGCACTCCTGTCACCCTCGCACAGGGGTCCCTCAGTGGCTGCCACCCTCTGCCTCACGCCAACGCGTTTCGCGGCAGCCGGCAGTCGCGCTATGCCGAGGCTCAGACCCGCACGCGTGGGAGCACCAGGCTGGCTCCCCGGCTCTTCCCGACACAGAGGGGTTGGGAGAGGTAGGACAGCTATTGAATCTACGGGAAAGATGCCCAAAAAATGCACCCGAGGTAAAAATCTCGTTGCCATTATGGTCCCTAAAGCTGTGATTCCTGGCTGGACTACACATGTGCCAATGAGACTCTCGCCCTGCACCCGCTCTCCCTTTGGAGACGGGCAAGTCCGTGCTCCGCACGTCCCCTTCGGCACAGCGTGGGATCAACGGGACATGCCGCGATGCCAGGAGCCTGCCAGCCTGTGGGACGGGGACACCG